AGGGAGGTTAGAAGATTGTGAAAGCATGTGATGGCTCAGGCTGAAGGACTGGGGTGTTAACTCCCTGCTTTTATCTTGGTGCCTGATTGGGGTGGAGACTGTCATATTGTAATCCCTGTGAAAAACCTTAAAATATAACCACTCCATGCAGGCCCAGCTGTTGAGGGTTTTCTTGGTGAATGAACGGGGTAGCTCACATGATGAAGTAGCAGCCTTATGCTCCAGAGTATCTGAGGACTGTGGACACGTTACTACTTCCTTTTATGCTTCTTTCTCTCTCTAAATGAACATCACTTAATACTACAACCTTCTAAAATTATCTGCATAAATGGGAGCAGGTAACTTACTCTATAAAGGACGAAGATCTTATAACACCCACTCTTAATATGAAAAAGAGGACTATAAATGAAGTTATTAAAATCAAGATACATTTTTAGCTTGGACAAGAGGACAGAGATTGCTAGCAACCTGAATCCCAGTCAGACACACTTCCAACTGCTTCCATGTGTATGCATGTGTGTCCTTTCCCACACAGCCCTACCCCCAGTAGAATTGCTTGCCTACTCTTTACAGGTAAATCCTAGGAGAATGTAACCTCCAATCTTTGGAATCAAAGGCACAGCCAGCTTGCTCTAACTATTAGGATCACTTTTCAATGCAGGCTCAAGGGAAAATCCAATCAAGGGCTACAAAAAAAAAAAGATGGAGTGGTAAACAGAAGAAAACAACTGGAATAAAGTCTTATGTTAAAAACCCAAGTAGGGTCCTTGTCCTTTGAGGGATAAAAGCTACAAAATAAAACAGCAAGACAACAGGAATAAAACCCACATGAATCACTGTGGCATCCAGTTTCTATTCACAAAGAAAAAGCTCCAGTCCATCTTTTAATTTTTTTTTTGAAAAATTCCTGACATTACAGAACTAAACTGAAATGTATTAATATTCCACTCTTACATTTCCATGACAAACAGAAAAAAAAAATTCATGAGCCAAAAAAAAAAAACAAAAAACCAACAGGGAGAAAGCTTATAAAACTAAATATGGATCTCAGCATTAACAGCTGAACATAGAAAGGAATTAAAACGCTTTAATTAAAAAATCACGAGTGGATGATAAAGTGTGTAGAAACTGAAAATTTACAAACTATTTAAAACCTGGAATCGCTGACTGTTCAGAAACTACACAGATGGATCATGGGTGGTGGTGAACAGCAGAAAGGGATTATGGATGAATCTGCATTGTTCTAGCTGCTCCCCATGCCACCCGTCTCCGAAGAAAGCCTGTAACACAAAACAAGAACTCAAAGTTAGTTTTCTTGAATGCCCAGCTGCACCTCACCTCCAAAACTTCCAACCCTGTTGGGTGAACTGTGAAGGAGAGGTTCTGTGAAACAATCAGTGTTTCATACCACGGGTAACATTTTACAATTCCTTGGGTTAACCAGTAGTATGTGCCTGTAACCCCTGCAATCGAAGCTTCATGAGAGCAAATTACCCCAGAACCAAAGGAAACTGAGGACCCTGTCTATCAATTATGGGTGTCCCTCAAACCGTGCTCCTCTGAACCTTTGTGGGAGGTAGATGTTAAACACCTTATGGCCCTGGCCAGGTAGCTCAGCCAGTTAGAGTATCATCCCAATATAGCAAGGATGTGGGTTTAATCCCTGTTCAGGGCACATATAAGAATCAACCAACGAATGCATAAATAAATGGAACAACAAACTGATGTTTCTCAATAGAAACCACTTTATGAAAATACACCACAGAAAAGTCTGCCAGAGACTTACAAAACACAGAAGCAATTTTTTTCAATCACCTGAAGACATTTTTTCACTGAGAGATGAGGGAGAAAGGGAAACACTGATGCAAGAGAAGTGTTCATTAGCTGCCTCTGGTGTTGCCTTCAAGATGTGCCTGGACTGGGGATTGACTCTGCAACCTAGACGTGTGCCCTGCCCAGGAACTGAACCCTACAAACTTTCAGTCAGGGGAGGATGCTGCAAGCAACTAAGCCACACCAGCCAGGGCAGAAGCAATGTTTTTTTACTGCTGAGCTTATTTCCACTCCTCCAAAGACAGTGATAAAATAATTTAGAAAACATTCATCTACAAGTAGCCTCACTAGGCTAATGCTGAGGCATCTTTAAAAAAAAAAAAAAAAAAAAAAAGGGCACACTCCCCTCTGGAGGGCTCACCTGGACCTCCCTGCCCGCCCTACCCCATTATCTTTGCCTTTCTCCTGAGCTCCAAGGGCCCTTCTTTTGCTTCTCTAATTTCTTTCCTCAGCCTGCGCAGCCCAGCTGGCTCACTTCTACTACCTCTGTAACTTTCTAAACTCATAATTTGGGGGTGGGGGCGGGGACCTTCATTCTAGAACAGTCCTGGTACTTCTCTACCAATGTGAAGGCTATTACTAGCTAACTATTAAGAGATAATGCCGTTTTAATTTTTTTTAAATGCTAAGCTGTCAAAGAGGGAGCACTAGTAAGTACGGGTCAAGAATTATACTCAACCCATAGTTTTTAGGCCTAGTTTTCAGGACTTAAAAGCAAAAGCCAAAATAATGTTTCGGTAACTCTTTGCTCACTCTAGAAGCTCCCAAATCTGTTGTCTTAAGACAAATTCTCCATCCAAACATACCTAGCTACAATGTCTTTTGTTTTAAATACATCATTTGATGCCCGTAAGGCCTTTGGCTTGCTTCACTGATATTAGGTAGCCAGCAAGAGTTTACATTTTTAATAGAACTCAATGTGTTACACTGAAGTTTCACTTTCTAAATTTATTTGAATGACTCTTAAATGACTGGCATAACCTATTTGTGGTCTCATCAAGGGAGCATGAACACTTCCCCATCTGTATCTCTTCCACAACAATGAAAGACAAAAGCTGGCCAGAAGGGGGAAGAAAACAAGGACCAAGAAATAGATGGGTCTTTCAACTACAAACTAATTTTATGTCAGAAACGGTATTTCCACATCGGCATAAAGTGGACTATTTTGTTCTTAAAAAGGGTAGATTCATTCTTGCCAACAACAAAATGGAATAATCTAGGGTAATACAAACAACAGGCCCTGAATAAGAGTTTAAGGGGGAACTGAAGGTTCAACAAAGGATCTGCTGGAAACAGTTTAGATCTAGGACCTAAAAAAAATTAAGTTCATGCAAGAAGGTAGTGGCACTTTGGTACCAAAAAGAGCTTAGAAAGAACTGTCCAGAATTTATGCACACAGCCTCAGCAGGGATTGAATGAAGGGGGCAAGTATAGAGTGGACACTGATAAGAAAACCCACCCAGAAATATTATGTTATGGACTCCTGGTGATGGTAGGCAGTCCCTTCAACATCTGGATTCCTTCCCAGTAACCCTCCTTTAAGGAGAACTCATTAGGTAAAGAGGCCTTCTAATCAACAACTAGACGAAATTACCAAATCTCTGGGGGAAGATGGTATCAGCAAGATTAAGTCCAAACTACAAAAAAGATCTTACCTAATGGAGAGCTGGACTACATGATAAAGGAGCAGCTAGCAACTAACAAAAGTCCTAGCTAGACAATGAACTGAAGTTTGCCCCCTCTAGTCCTCCATGTTACGTGTAAAACTAATTCAAAGGCCCAATCTGGGTTTGAGGGACCACAGTACCATGGTAATATGTAATGCAATACTCATGAGTAATTAGTTTTTCTTACACCGTAAACCAAAGTAAATGTGGGAAAATATCATCAGGAAAAAAACCCTCTGCAGTGATTCTCTAATGCTTTTGGAAAAGCATTATACTTTCATTAAACTGGCAATATGTACTCAGGTTGAATGGAAGACTACCAGATGCTCTTTGCCGTTTTATCTTCAGTATTTCTACCCTTTTTATGGAGGAGGAACTGAGGTTTTAGAGTAAGAAAAATAAGTCTTCAGGAAGACTCACTAGTCATCCATGTGATTGGCAAATTTAAATTTTTCTAGGGCCTCAATTTTTTGTTAAATCGAATAAGTAGATTGACGAGTTAGTTGATATTGGTGGTTCCTTCCAAATCTAAGCTTATAATTTTCTACTCATGGTAAATAGAGGGTTGGTGGGGAGGCAGATGGGAAAACAAGTAATAGAAGGATAAAGGGACTTAGTCTAGTAAATCAGGGTTAATTCAGGATAACTGGACATAAACCTGTCAATTTTGGGTGATGTCACACACAGGTCGGTGGCTCAAGATTTACCCAATGTCATGGGAAGAGGAGTAATGCTAGTTCAGGGGAATGGAGACAAGCTGGCAAACTGAGACTTTTCCCAACTTGCTTCCCTATTCTTGGTAAAGAAATAACTTCTTTGTATGTATGACCTATAAGAGAACCTCAGAGTAACCACTCACCAGAGGAAACCAACCAGAGATGGACACCCCTGTTACTCACTGCTGTTGGCAAGGTAAGAGATGTGCAAAGCCAGAGAAACTATTCTTCACTAACAAAGGTTCTTGCCACTTACGGAAGACCCTTGGGATTTAAATCTGTGACAGGCCCATCACCCTTTGTGGGGAATGACAAAGGACTAAAAATTAACCAGGGATATAAAGAGGTCCAGTCAGTTTTATAGAGTCTCTAGTTAAGAAACTACAGGTCACAAGTTCCCACCCCTTTACCCTTCACAGCACACAGTCAACTAAGGTTCTTACTGTGGCAACTTTATTATATCTAGAAACACAAATCTGGCCAAGAAGGCCAGCTGATAACTTAACCATTAAATAATTAAAAAAAAAAAAAAAAAAAGGTTAAAGGAGAAGCTTTTATTCATTAACACAGAGCCTAACACATTGTTATATTGCAAGGCAGAATAAAACTACAAAAAAGTAACATAATGAGAAAAAGCAAGAACTGTGGCTCTAGATAAAGTATTCAACAAGTCAGACTCTGAAACAGGCACTGAGCTGAAATGGCCTAAACCTAAACAACGTTACCATTGCCCCCACCCCCACCCTGTTATCCCCCAAATAGTAAAAAGGAAATGTCACAAGCTCACAATTGTTTGGTTCTCACCAATGTTAACAAAGGAAAACAAAATGAACCAAGAATTACTTGAGGGAGTGCCTCAAGATATGCAATCAGTAGGGGGAGAATCTCTGTTTCTCGCCTTTCAGTTTGTTAGTTACACATGGCACGGCAGAGGTGGTGGTGGTGGTAGCTGAAGCCCCGGTACCCTTAGCAGCAGACACAACATTTAGAGCCAGGAGAGGGATGGGTTTCATGCCAAGCAGACTGGAGACACAAGGGGCGGTCGGAAGAGGGTTGGGGAGGCTGGAGGGTGCGTCGGAGGTCCCCGCTGTGGCGAGCGAGGGGGTGGTGGTGGAGGAGGAAGAAGAAGAAGAAGGGGTGGAGGGTTGAGAGAGGTTGATGCTGAGGTGATCAGGGATCGTGACGGAGGCTGCCTGGGAGGAGGGTTTAGCGTTTTCTAAACTGTAACAGAGGAAAAAAGGAACAAAAAAAAACGGGTGGGTGGAAGGGAAGACCACAAAAGGGAAAAAAGTACAGGACAAAACCGCTTCAGTTATCAGTTAAGTGCCTCTGGTTGTCAATAGGAAGACCTAATACCAACTTGTGACAAGCTGTCTCTCTTATAGTTTATATCCCACCCTCTAAAAATGTATACCTGCCAAATTTCATTCCACAGTGCTATTTAAAACTGCTACTGTGAAGAAAAAGCTGATAGACTGAGAAAAGAAACACAGCACACACTTCCATGTATGACATACTGATCCAACCCAGAGGTCAGAAAGGAATGGTTTCAACTAGGAAATGAAAGCATTCACAATCTCCAAACAATGAACAAATGTTCCACCCATCAATCACTTGTGAAGCTTTGGGATAGTAACCCACAGAATTTTTTTTCATTTTTTCTGTATTAATATGCAAGTTTGCTTCCATCTCCAGAGCAATCTTATCAATACACTAGGACAGACAGGGGAAAGAGACCCAAGTAGGCCACTGACTAATCTCAAACTTCAAAGAATGTAACATTTTCAAAGGAAAATCCTGAGGACAGAAGTGTAGGTAAGAACTGGGGAAGCTTCATTTCTGGTGAGAGGTTGTGATGAGGAAAAAAGCTCTTTGTTTTGTGACTGACCATATTTGTAACACAATCCTTATAGAACTGGAAGAAACTCAAGCACTGCCAAAAACTGTGTTCAAAAAGCAAAACTACTGTTTCTACTCCTAAAATAAGCTCCAAATCACAGTAATAACCTGCAGGTACCTGCTGAAGTCTCTCTGGACAACCCAAGATGAACTCGTCAAGGGCAAGTAGGCTCCTCTTAAGACTCCATTTTGTTTACATGAATCCAGACAACAATAATCGATAAAGAGGGAAAGAACTCAGATTGCCAGAATCCTTACAATCCATTACTGAAAGAACAGAAGTCTTTTCTTGCCTAGTATTAATAATAAAACCAGTTTGCGTTTCGCATTCGAACTGGGCCAAGATGAAAAGGCAAAAAAGTAAACTCTGGTGTTAAATGAAGCTTCAAGAAGTTTTAACCCAAATCCATAGCCCAGGCTAGTTTCATTAAACAGGATGATCATGAAGCGTGACTAAATCAGGAAACTAAGGTGGTGAATGAAGTTCTACTTCTTTACAGTGTAGTCACTGACCTAACATTGGGGGGGGCACCCCACAGTTGGGCAAGTAGGTTACATTTAAACACCATCTGACAATATTCTAGGCAAGACTATCCAAGAAGAGAATTTCCAGCTTCCAAGAACATGATTCCTGCCACTTAACAACCACCCTCAACTAGAAAGAAACAAAAGGACAAAACCTTTGTAAAACAGCTTCTGTGAAAAGCTTTTCACCCTGAACATTAAGAATTTGATGTGCTTGGTAGCTGAAGAAGAAAGGAGATTCAAACGTAGAAAAGTTTTTTCCACACAAAGATCAGTTAACTACCTGAAGGCATAAGAACTCTCCAGGGAATAAGTCAGAATCACTACTGGGGAACTGATAAATTCTCAACTATAAGGGGTCAAGACCATGTAATAAATACATGGTCAGTGTAAGCATAACAACAAAAGCTCTTTCTTATAAATTCCTTTCCCTTGCACTAGGATTCAGAAACTCAACAGAGACCAAATAGTTACAGTGATAAATAACTAGCCAAAGGCTACATAAAAAAGATTGCTAAGCTCCTTGAGAAATGAGCTAACATTGATTTTAAAAGGTAGTGAGCAATGAGAATGTGGCTTAAGCACTAATGCTGAAAAAGCAAGAAATATTTTTTAAATGCCTTGTAAGATGCCCATTGGACTGTGAAGAGTCCTGCTACAATCATGGGTTTAGTAACAATAGCTAGCTTTGGATAAGGAAAATAAAACCTCAGAAGCCATTATTGGATGCAATGGGGGGGAGGGGAAAAAACACTAGGTATTACTGAAATACTCAAAACCTGTGTCTCCCCTTTGCCACAAGCTCTAAACAATGAGACACATTTACAATTGGAGAAAAGTGGACATTTTCAGAATAAATGGTAATGGCTGCCTCCAAACAACTGCTTTGCTGTCACATTACTTCATTATCCTTATTTCAATTAAGGGTACATTGGAGCCTAAACCCAATCAGTGAGAGTACTGGTCTATACTGCAAACATGTACAGCCAAGAGACTTAAATTTGGTTCTCAGTATAGGTGCCCTAGCCAGAGCACCTGACCTAGTACTGAAAACAACCTCCACAACCTCTGCACTACCAAAACTATCAAAGGTCAAATTCAAGCCTCTACTCTCCCTCCTCCAAGCCCATGCAAACTCACAACCTGGTTACTTTTTCTGCTAAAAATGGATGAACATAGGACTAGACTTAAAACCACCCCCGCCCATCTCCATCTATACCCACCCACTCCCATTACCCAAATAACCCCACATTTAATAACACATTTTAGCTTTCCTTAACAAACACACATTACCTGTGTGTTGACATCAATAAGGTAAAAAAGGTAAGGAACCCTTACCTGACATTGATTAGATATTGAGCCAGGCTAATGCTGGCAGCAGATCCAGTGATGGTAACCTGCCTATCAGTAGATCCTTCCACTGGGTTCGCAATTTTGATCTGCGCCCCAGACATCTGACGGATCTCATTGATTTTGGCGCCTTGACGCCCGATTATGCAGCCAATCAACTTTAGGGAGAAGAACAAGAATGCATGCAAAATTAGTAATAGCATGGCTAAGTCCAAGAATTCCATCCCATCCCTCTAGCATTCCATAGCCCGGGTCCATGACGAAGACAATGGAAACTACTATCTGCATCCTATATACTCTACTCACATACTCCTGGATTGAGTTATAGATTGCTCTCAACTCTTGGCTATTTCTTTGCCTGACCACTACAGGTCAGAGCCAACTGAGCCAACTGACTCATAGGTTTATTAGTTCATTTTCTTAGAGAGTAAATCCAAAGACAAAATAAGACAGAGCCAAGATGATAGCAAACCTAGTTCATCACCATAAACCTAAGAATAAAGGTATCTTTGGTTTTTTGGGCAACAAATATGCCTAAAACTCATCCTGCCATGATCATCACTTTACTATACTGACAAAACTTCTAACTTCTAATGCTTTTTGCCTTGAGAAAAAGTAAAAAAAAGATGATCTGTATTTGTACTGTCCAGTACTATAGATCCTTATGTGATTATTGAACATAGGAAGTGTGGTGTGACTAGACTGAGAAAATGAATTTATTTATTACTCTTAATTTAAATAGCCATATGTAGTTAGTGTGTACCATGTAGAACAGCAGATACAACGTCCGAAGACCACTGCTTTAAGCATAAGCCCTCGGATTCTACAGGAAACAAATGCAAATGGAATTAGTACTTGATACGAAAAGGTTCTTTCCACCTCATGAATACTTAACAAGAGTTTAACCAACTGTCTCCATTGATTTTTTCACTCATGAGTCTAGGTACTTTTAGATTTTTGATATCTAAATCCTCCATTTTCTTTCCCTAGCCCTTATAACTGCTAAGATCTCTATTTTTTAAAACCAATTCTCAGTTTCATCCAATGCAACCCAACTACTATACTTACATCATTTGGAATGGTGAGTTCATGAGAAGTAGTCTGAGCAGATGCATCCAAACCTGCTAAAAGACAGAAGAGAGCAAGGAAGTTCAATGCACAGCATACAAACCCGAACTGATCCGCACATTAATCAAACAGAAGGAAACAAACTGGAAACCCAGCATTGGCTGTTGGGATTCATCACTAACTTGAAAGCCTCCAAGGAGTAAAGAGGGGTAAAGGGGTGTAGAAATAATGCTGGAAAGGTTCCTCTGTACACTCAGAAGAGCTGATTTCATGCCATTTCCTGCAAAGCCCAGCCTATTAGTGTGTAAGGGGATGGAAGCAAGGGAGAAGGGAGCGCGACATCCTTAAACAGGATCAAAATCTAACCAAGTCCTTCTGCACTTCTCCCCTTTTCTGCTTAAAATTTCCTGCGTTGTAATTCCACTTTTATCTCACCTGATGCTCACTAGCACCAGTGCCAATATGATGCCTGTTATTGGGTACCATGGACTCTTGGCGCACATGCAGTTGCTTTAAATATACCTGTATCATATTAACAGTGCCCAGCCCCCCCCACACCTCCCCCACCACACACTATCCTAACCTACACCTGAAGGTCAGAGAGAATGAAATGGCAATCAGGTGAGGAAAGTTCATTTCTCCAGATTTATTCCCTGTCTTTTGCTCAATTGCTCATTAATTTTTTTCTGGTTTTTATTGTTTTCCAAAGAAAAAGAAAAAAAATCTGATCAACAAACACTCACATCCATCTATAATGGCACCTGGATTGGATCAGGGCAGCTAGCTAACTCTCAAGGCTAGTCCTGCTCTCACCTGTGACTGTTAAAACTCAACACATTTAGAAGGGGGTTGGCCAGATCCACCAAGGGACCCCTCAGGGGCACCAGGCCCGCCCTTTTGCTCTCTCAGCTTATTTCTGCCATGTGCATGTTGCTGGTATGTCATGGGCAGTGAAACAAGACTCCCACCAGTTTATTAATATAACAGTAGAATACTACAGATTTTTTTTTTATCATTACCCCAATAGCCTTTCACCTCTGGAGAGCTGGATTCAATGCCTGTTAAGATACAAGTGAAAATGAGTTTGGTGGTCTCATCCTAACCCTATCGGACAAGTTATTCCTTATACAGAAAAAAAAAAAAAAGCCCAAAACAAAACAAACCAAAAACCAAAAAAACACTACACAATTTGGCATAAATGGACTGTCTCTACCCAGGTCTGTGAAAGCTGGTGGAGAGGAAGGGGGTGCCAATCAGTTCAAAGGGGCAGCAGTGAGGCTAGAAGAAATGTCAGCCTACCCTTTGCCTGATAAGCATCCCCAGACCTCAACCCAAACCTTCCAGGGTCCCCCTTTTTTTTCTTTTTAAAGAATAACTCACCCCAAATGAAAACCAAGTTAAACACATTACCTCCTTCGGTTTAGCCACAGAAGATAGGCAAGTTTAAACCAGCAGGATGCTGGGTACGAAGTTTGTCTTAAACAGATGTCAAACTGAGACCTTGGGGCTGGCCTCTGATTCGCACTACACCTTACAGAAATAAACACTGAGGCATCCATACCACTGAATCCGGTGTTGCCATGCGTCATGGGAAAATGAGACTGTTGCATTGCCAACTGGTGCAGCTTGGTCAACTGCAGGGAGGAAACAGGAGAGGCTGGCATTAGGAAAGTAACAGAGCCAGGGCTCAAGCACATTCAAATCTGAAAATGCGGATTTCCTGATCCTCAAAGTTGACTCTAGTACTCTTACTACAACAGAGGATAAGAATGGGGCTTCTATCACAATTCCAGGGATGGGGAAAATATGAAGTGTTAGAACGGGAACTGGTACTAAAGAATGAGTGCATTCAGGGTGTGTGAAGAGAAAAGCAGCAAGTACCAGCCCAAGAACCATCCCCTTGTGGGCTATTTAATGAAGGTGTTTGCAGCCATTACAAAAGTTGCCTTGGAGAGAAGCATAGACAGGCTAGGTAAACAAACTGTGCAGTGGTGCTAGGGAAAACACACCATGCAGGGTTCTGTCAGAATTGGGAGAAGGGAAGGAGATGAGGGGGCAAGGAGACTACAAGGAGAGAAATTAGGATGAAACCAAACTGGGTTTTAGCCCCTCCCCCACTACTATTTTCTACAGCTATTTTTCATCTATATAAACTGTCTTTGCTATTGTAAGATAATCCCTCATCCAGTATACTTCCCTTCCTGGGGCCTACACCACTAACCAAGAGCCAAAGTCAACTTCCCTTGTCTAATGCTCAGCACCTGAAAGGGTTAGTAAGGATAGAGGAAAAGTGCAGAAAGAAATGCCCTGTAACAAAGTCTGAATACCAACACTTTTTAAATGAGTTTTTAGTGGCAAGGAAGGTTTTACTGAATACCCAATTATTCCTTCCTATCCTTCCCTGTGTAAATAATCCCCTTCCCAGCCCCTCCAGATGCTTTTAAAATTATCACCTCAAATTGAGAATATACCCAAAGACAAACCCACCTCCCACTACCCCCATGGAAAGGACTCCATACAGAGATGCACAGTCCACTGGCAATTTAAATTGTGCCCAGAAATATCAAATGACAGAATACCATGGAACATTTCTCTTTTAGACAGAGTAATCTGGAACACGGGGGAAAGCAGAACCTAACAGTTTTCCAGATTATAATTTTCAGGGATTAAATGTCAAAAGACAAACAAGGTGCTACTATGCCCTGATTAAAGATTATTTAAGGGCTGAAATGTGAGATTCATCTTGTGAGGAAAACAACTTATTGCAATAGTTTACGACCCAACTCATTTCTGCCTACGTAGAAGAAAGGAGCGAGACAATTTTGGATGGGAGAGGGAGCTTTTCAAAACAAGAAGTAAAAACAAAACTTACATCTGGCTGTGGAATGGCATACTGTCCTTGAATGGTATAGGCCTACAAAAGGAGGAAAACAGTTCCTATTAAAAACCAATCACGGACAGCCACCCAGTGGGGAGAAAAAGACAGATTTCAACTAGCCAGGAAGCCAGAGTTTAACTAGAGAATGGGGAGGCCAGGGATTGAGGCAGTAAATGCTATCTCACAAATACAGTCAGACCCGAGTTGGCCTTCTTCAAACCCTAGATATGATGAATTATTCTGGGAAGCCTACGAAGGGAGCCATGTTCCCTGCAACCAAAGGCAAAATACACATGGATTTCTAATGAAAATGTGGGAAGTGGAATTAAACAATGCCTCACTTGACCAAGCCCCCTTCTTTCTCCCTGTGTACAAGATAGCCTAGGAGAAAAATGGTCTCTCCCCTCAACCACCCCAACCCTTCTACCAATCACAGTGATGTGAGTGATTTGTGTTTGCACAAACCTACATGGCATGTTCTGCAACACTTCCCTTTCCCTATCTTATTTGTCTCTACATCTGCCTAAAGACCTTAAATGCACTGGAAGCTAACTGAGTCCCTAAGTACTAGGGAGCTGACCACAGAGCGCACACAAAAAATTCAGTATTCTAAATCCTGCCTTCTCCCACCTCCCCTCCATAAAAGACACTTGCAGCTCCCACTACACCCTCCTCCCCCCCACACCATAACCTCCGAAAAGGGAGCTGGGTCTCCAGGGCAATGGGGTGTGGGACAAGGAGGAGCAGGAAAAGCAGGGAAGGAAGGAGTAGCTGGCTAAAAGAATGTGAGGCTTCTCACATCAGTGGCCAGTAACCCCAAAAGTGCACCCAGGTTGGGGTGGGAAGGTGAAAATGGGGGAGGAGTAGGAGACAAGGAAGAGGGATTGAACAAAAAGAAAAAACAGGAGAGTTGGTGTTACCATCTGGTGGGCTACGCGGCCTGTGTGAAATGAGGTGTGGGGGGGGTCAGTCCAGGTCCCCGTGGACAGGTGGTGTCCACAGCACAAAAATCACCAGCGCCACTGGCCCCCCGCGTGTTGGCAGTCTCGGCTGAGGCGGAAGGATTGAGTGAGCCTTGGAGACTGAACATCCCCTCTCACCTCTAGAGGTGGTCCCTCCAGGTCAGGGTTGAGGCACATGGACGGGGTGGTGTGGGGAAAGCTCGCACTGTCGCTGCCTGTGCTGTACCTGTCCTGTGGATAAATAGAGGATTTCAGTCTCCAGGGCTGTCAATCCGGCACCTTGTCACCAGCATGAAATTCACACAAAAAAAGTTGTTTAATTTTTCTTTTCCTTTAAAAAGTAGCTCACAACACAATTTGAAACGAGCTGCAATCAGTTGATTAAAAAAAAAAGTTACCTAAAGGCAGATTTCATACTGCACAATTGGGCTATTTTCAGTAAGAATAAAGGGGTAGGGCAACAGAGCTGATGCCAGCTCCTGGTCAGTGTGGGATTAAGGTGAACCCCTATAAAGCCCACTTTATCACAAAGGAACAAAAGACACAGGTCCACCTGTGGACATTGCATGAACTGGTCCATTTAAAAAGGCCCATGAGAATAATCCATGACAGGGCCACTCACGGAAGAAGCTGCAAGCTTTTAGAGGGTGATCGACTGAACAAAGGGGAGGGTGGGGAGGGAAGCAAAGAGGTAAGAAGGGGAGGTTGGGGGGAGGAAAGGGAAACAAAGAATTGTAAACAGAAAGGATTGCTGTCGCCCATCATGGGACTGTTTATAATCCCAATGGGAAGTAGAAGAATCCAGAAGAGCAGGAACCTGGAGTTCCTGGGGAGAAGGAAAAGAACTCCTTAAGCTAAGCCTTGCTACACTGACTCTGGCTGGGCCTTTTCTTATCCTGCCCCTAACCAGACCGACTGAAAATTCTTTCATCAAACCAGTTCGTACAAGGCTATTGTTAAAAGCAAGGCACTAAACTGTTTCAATTAACACTATGACATGATTAACTTCTTATGAAAACTCCCAGAACTAACAAGACAAACTAAGTGCCCCAAAACTTGTTCAGTTTTTATGCCAACTCAATACAATGTGAATGAGACAGACTTCAAGTTTATGCTTTCCCAGTTCAAATACAAGAAGGGACCAAAAAACTGCTTGTGAACAGGGCAGCCCTACGTAGAAAAGGGAATTTTGAGTAATGCACTTGTTTACGCAGCTACCAAAATGAAGGTCACTATTCCAACCTGGATTCCAGTATTTTAAAAACTGACCTACCTACTCCTCAAATACTAACCAACAAAGCATAAAACTCCCATGGTGATCAGTGCTCTTGTCATAAGAATCTAACTTCATAATAAACCATGTGCCAAAGATTAAGAGTTTAGGTGGATGAAGGAGAGCCCAAGGGGGTGCATGTTGGTGTTCTTACTCAAACACCAAAGATCACAGCACCACTGCCCAACATGCTCTCCCCCTTCTATTCTTGCACAATGAACCCTTACCCGAGCTGGTTCGTTATGCCATGTGGGTTCAAACCAGTGTTTATGAGGTTAAGAACCCGGGGGACAACACACTGGAGTTTGGGAGTGAAGGGGAGGAGTAGGGGAGGTGAGGTGAGGGGAAGGGAAGTTTGTAGGACACTCAAGTTCTGGAACCCCAATTTTGAGACCACCATCCAGAATCTCCTTCAGAGGTCCAACTCTTTGCTACCTTTATTCAGACCTCTAAAGAATACCCCACAAATAAAAATGCATGGATGGGGTGGGGGTTGGGAGAGTAGTGACACCAAGGAAATTTAACCCTTTCTTCTAAGCCAACCCACCTTAAATTACCAAGTAAATGACCTCTTCGAGTGCCTACAAAACTCCCATTGCCTGCTAAAAATTAAATAAGGGCTTGGCATTCATAGCTTTCTCCAGTACAAAAAAATAAAAAAAACTAAAAGCAGGTCAAACTATGGCCAGAGTAGAGGTTTTAGCAAGCATGCAGTGGCCTGATGTGCTGCTGGCAAAGTTGACATTTCAAATATAATCTTTGTTGATAACTAGCCCAACAATAAGAATTTTCTTACCTGACCACCTGCAAAGATGACTGGAGAACTGGACGGCTTGGGCCGGTACGGGATGGTCACGCCCTTCGGGGGGGACTGGGAGAGAGTCAGAGGGGAAAAAAACAAAAAGAGATAAGGTTTCAAAGCTGCTTCAGCTGTGTGGCTTAAGCTCACACAGGTCAGTTAAATTAAAGACTGTATTTCCATTCCCTCACCTACCAATGTTGTCTCTGACTACACCTCATGTGAAATCATCTATAATTAGTTACTTGCCTTTAACATAAATAGTAAGATAATCCATGGACTACACAGCTCACACTAAGTCTGATCAAGACAGATTCCCCTGTAATAATTTAGGCATGATTTCCATGTTTTCAAATAAGTCTAACAAACATGAAAAACCTCTCTGTGTTCATATATATACATTTTAGTTGGTGACTTTTAGATCTTAATTTTGGCCTGAATAGGAAATTAGCCAAAGTAAGAAATACAGCATCCAAATGTTACATCTAGGATAAGACACTATCCATGAATAGTTCAGAGGCTCTATCAGTATTCTAAACTCTACTTGGAAAGTCTACTTTCCTTTGTCTCCAATGAGACAAACTCCATATGACAATTCTAAAAAGGTTTAATGTCCCTTAATTTTGCTATTCTTGCTTTAATTAAATAGCATATACCAGGACCTCCTAAGTCATTCACAAGCACCATTAAGGATACATTTTTTCCTATATAACCACCACTTTGAATATAACCCCGGCACAAAACACAAAATTTTAAAGAACACATCAGAGTGGAATGCAGCTAAAATTTTGGAATCTAAAAGGCTACTTAACCCTGGCTTGTGTGGCTCAGTGGACTGAGTGCAAGCCTGAGAACCGAAGGGTCACTGGTTTGATCCCCAGTCAAGGCACATGCCTGGTTTGCAGGCCAGGTCCCCAGTTCAGGGTGTGCAAGAGGCACTGCACACTGATGTCTCTCTCTCCCTCTTTCTCCCACCCCCCTCTATAAAAATCTAAAAAAAAGCAAGCACCTTAACTTAGCTCCCCAGGAACCCAGATACATCTTTTGTCTACTCAGTCCAAGTAGTGAAACTTCCCCTACCAACCCCACTAGAACTACTATAACCCAAAAGATTACCGTTGTTTAGCAGTTTCTATTTTTACTCGGACTGTAAGAAAAGCCAAAGCTGGGGGGAAAAACATATGAACTCAGGGAACCTCCTCCCCACCCCCATCAGAGACTTCTAATAGCTTCACCTAATTCTAGTCTTACTAAATATAGATGAGTCTGTCTCCCCTAGAATCACCCTCCCCCCATTCTCAGCATGAGCCTGAGGGCTTACCTCCAACATGACCACACAGATCTGTTTCACACACTCAATGATGGATTGCGGAATGCCAGCAATAGTGATGGCCCGCTCGGTTGAGTTGGGGAGCATATCCCCTGCCACCTGGACCTGAGCCCCTGTACTCTGGAGTAAAAAGAAATTTAAAATCAGAGAAAAAGAGCTCATACTTACTCTTCCAATTTCTCCCAGTAGCAACTTTAGAGACTAAAGCTCAGTAGACTCTTATCCCACCTCCTATCTTACCCTTTTTAACCTCCGTTTCCACTCTTCCCTTATTCCAGATAGGACTGTTTAATGAGTTATAAATAAATTAGCCTCTGAAAGCCAAGAATAAGCCTGAATAACAGCCTAAATTTAACCTCTCAACACACACACACACACCCCCCAACCCCCCCCAAGTCCTAGACAGTTTCCTCTCAGCTAATGTTAACTGTGGCCCAAGCAAAATCCCCACAAGTATCACCCACCTCATTCCTATTAATCAAATACTTAAATCAAGCCCATTCTATGTTCCAGGTACCAGTCTAGGTACCAGGAATACATCAGTGAACAAAATCAAAGTCCCTGTTCTCATGGTATGTACAACAGGCTCCCAAAAACTTCAACTCGTTTTCCTTTAGGAGTCATTCAAATTTCATTCTAATATTCAATTCAGTAACTCCCAGATACAGTTAAAAGCTTCCATAATTCAATGTAACTTCCACAACTTAAAAAAGAGCAAGATTACCATCACACCCCCATATATCGTCCTGTTTTCCCCTCACTATTTAGGAATTTGGCCAAGGAAACATTTGCTACTATTATGTATCAAACTGTAAACTCTGTAGACATCAAAAAGAATTATGCAGCCTCATAAAAAAGTTGCAAATTCTGGTTAACTTTTTCAGTCTGATGGTTGTTCTTTAAATGTATGAACTGTTAAAAAAAAAAAAAAAAGAAAGAAAAAAGAACGTACAATACTTTTCACCCCAATATAATAGAATACTCAAACTGGAATCTTCTAAAACTGTTGCTTTAATAAAAATCTTACCTCAACAAGTGCTAACTTTTCCTAGTCACAGAGATAATAAAAGCAGCCACATTTAGAATACTTATCTTTTCAAAAAGGAGCACAAAAGTTACCAACCTCTCGTATTTCCTTGATCTTGCAACCACCTTTCCCAATGAGAGAGCCACACTGACTAGCAGGGACCACCAGCCTCAGGGTGACTGGAGGTCTACTGGCAGCTGTGCTATTGGTCATAGAGCTGCTGATGTCCTACAGAAAGACATCAGTCAGAACACCAGAATATAGCAAGTTTTAGCATATCCCTGGGAACCCGTAACTGCCATAACAGAACTTACCCTCAATAAAAAACACATTGTATGTATCATGATCACCATCAACAAATGCCCAAAAATATCCCCTTCAAAACAAGTATTTCTGAAAAGATAACACCTACAAACTTCTCCAGAATTTGCCTTATATATGTTTATTCACCCTGAGAAAGGCGTTCTTGGTGGGGGGGGGGGAGAAAAACAATTATTAGTTTTGTAAAGCAGAGTTGACTGGCCAAAGAAAAACAAGATTGAAGTCAAAGTTAAATAAAATATTAAAAGATGAAACAATGCAACCCTAAATTCAAATAACCCATCAGGTCCTCTTAGAAATCTAGAAAGATTAAGTAGTATACTTCCGTATATCATTCTTTAAATTCTTGGTAATACTATCATTATAGAGAGAATGAAATTGAGGCCAAGTACTTTTCTAAGAAGCTGTGGATTTGATTAAAAAAACTACACTGGCTCCAAAGGCCATAATCTTTCCCACTACAATATGCTGCATCCAAAAAGTCATGGTTTTAACCTAGTTAAATTGAGTCTTCTGAAGGTTAACTAGTTTAAATATCACTGCTCAGTCTAATGCCTATACAGTAGCTAGACCTGGAAACTGCTTAAACATAAATCTTAAAGTCAAGGACATGTTTATTTGGTTCAAGTGTGAACAACAGATTTTCTGAATGTTTCTTAAGCCTTAAATTCTGGATTAGCAGGGTCCTGCAGGTCAAGAGGTAACATTTCTGATCTTGGCAAGGATAACATTTCAGCTACCATTAAGTATCCAAGGACCAATCAAGCAGCAGCCAGAAGCTCTTCTCTGCCTGTGGTGTCAATTAGTGATTAGCAATATTACTGCAGAAAAGAGAAGCTGAAAACTGAGGAAAAGAGCTAGGACAATGGTTGATTCAGCACCTGGAGGTTGAGGTGGCTTGGTAACAAAAAAAAAAAAAAACTTCTTTTTGCCAAAAAGCTTGAAACCATTTCCCTTCAGATAACCTATAAAACTTATTCCCTCCTAGTATAATTACAATACAAAAATATCAAAATGATTTTTCAAAAATTTAACTGTACCCAGGGTTGGAAGATATGTTTTTATGAGATATATTAGTGTTCAGGAGGGTCCCTAGCAAAATCACATTTAGTTCACTCAACTTTGAGTTGGGACATAAAAATTTACCAATGCAGAGGTGGCATATCTTCAAAACTGTTTTTATAGTTAGTCCCTAGTAATAGTCAAACTATTTGATACTCAAGTTGACTTATGTAACTATAACGGATCAGATTTTGAGGATGCTCAAGGGGAGCAAAGAACTCATTTTGTAAACCAGTCTCTCTTTGAATTTAAAAAGCCCTTTGAAAATCACTAAGCTATCTAGAACCAATTAAAAATGGAGAATGAGGGAGGAGAGAGAACAACAAACCTCTTCCAGTTTGTCAATGATCATAGCAAAGGCTTTGAAGATGGCATTAGTGGGTCCAGCCAAAGTGATAATTCTCTCAGGACAATTCCCTTCTGAGATGTTGATACGTGCACCACTCTGGATGAGAAACAAGGCCAAGACGTTAAATAGGCTGCTATCAAAACATATATCAACTACACAAACCGTCCTAAGTAAGACAGGCATGGAGCTGCCTATATACAAGATCCTGCTACAAGTCAATGTCAGCATCATTTCAAATACTGTTTCAGGTTTGTCCTCAAAGAGACTACAGAAGTTGCCTTAAATCTTGAATAAAATGAGATTTGCCAGAACATTTCCCAGCACACTATTTGTGACTACAAATAACTAAGCCAGAAAAATACTAGCTTCTTACTCTTGAGACCTTCCCTCCTAATCTCTCCTTATACAGGATATTTGCCTTTCTTTAAAAAAAAACTTTCCAAGGTAAGAGTACCCAAAATACCCCCATAACTCACCTCCTCGCGCATCTTCTTAACTGATTCTCCTTTCTGTAAGAGTAAAAGTCAAGAGTTCGTTCAAACGGCTCTTTCAACCCAGACTGACTAAATAGTAATTAGAGTTCAAGTGAAACCGTCTTACCTTTCCGATGATACTGCCAACTTCCTGTGATGGAGAAAACTCGTGTCAAGTAAGAAGGAACTCAAAAGTGTTTATTATCATGAAAAGGAATTTTTAACTGTACACAGTAATAGAAAAACTAAGAATTATTGGGAAGGGGAGTGGGTGGGAGTATTCTTTTCTTGGCTCAAAAGGTACATGAAGTTCTCAAAGAATTTAAAAAACAGTAACAATGAATGAGTGATTAAATGTTTTCTTCATGTTCAATATAAATTATTTTTTAAAATATCAAACATATTCACCCCTCTTAAAATTTTCTAAAATTGTTTGGCCAGGAGAAAATTACCTATCACAAGAAATAGCAACCTTTATGAGAAAACTCTTATCCAGGTATGATACAGTTTTTGGCTCTAGCTTATAGTTAAGCCTTTCCTGCTCAGTGGAGCTTCCCAGTGAAGTCTGTCCATTTCCCCATTACACTCTCATCTACGCTGCTAGGAAGGAGTGCTAAAGCCAGACACCCAACAGTGCTAATCTGATGAGCTCCAAGATACTGCCCTCTCTTCCTGGCCCCTCCCCTAGCAGTTACTATGACCCAATTTCCCAAGCTGGTGCATACCTTTCCATGCATAAGTAGCCGGATGGTGAGAGTGACGTTTAATCCACCTTCAATCACACCGGTGTCCATGCTGAGCAGTGTTCTGGGGAGCAGGACTTTGAGTGGTCAAATCTTTGGTCACTGGTGGGGGGGGGGGGGGGGGGGGTGAAAGCCAAAAACTGAAACGCAAACATGACCAAAATGAGAGAAAGAAAACAATGGAAGAAAAATATTTTCCTGTTATTTTCACTATTATCACTGTTTTGTTACTCTGACTCTTCCTTTAATGACAGCCTATCAGTTGGCAGGCTTATATACATTCAGCACAACTGCATTAACAGCTCAGGTTCTGTTAAAGTGTATGGAAGGCGACTTTCCAGGCGCTCATTAATGGTCGGGTTTCTGCTGACTCGCAGCATGAGGAGGATTCCTTCAATTTCCAATGATTCTAAGGGGAACTGCTGAACGTGCACTAGTTGTCCTTCAGCAGAATTAAGCTTCAACAGGATACAGAAACACCTGGAAATCATGAGGGCAAAACACCAACTACAAAGAGGGCAAATGACCTTCTGCTTCCATGTTAGGGAGCAGCTCACGCTGAAAGCTGGAGAGGACATGTAAATTTTCTCACTGGTGGTAATTTCCAGATAAAGAATTTGAGGTATCTCTCTCATTAAAAGTTTAAATGTTGATAAATGACACCAAGTAATTTTTAAAAGATTTGTATCAACAGCCTCAGTGAAAAAGCTATTATCTGAAATGCCCTCCATGTAGGCTTGGTGTTCCCTATTCCCCTCTAGGAAACGACTCCATACATTAAGTACAGTCTTCTCCCAACCCAGGTAGATAGTCAGATTTTAAAATTTTCCTTGCTTCTGTGTATTAACCTTTGTTACCTCTCAGTCTTTATTCAAGTCTCTTAAACATTTTTCCAAAGAAAACAATAAAAATAAAACTGGTATTGCTAAAAATCTGTGTAATAGTTTTAAGCAACAATGAGCCTTTCCTATGGAGGAGGTCCTTTCCCCACCTACCCTCAATTTCTTAAGATTTGTTTTAGAACATTGAAAATGTGAAGATAATTTGTTTTTTTATATATGTACCTTTGCCTACAATACTGCTTTAGGACCTTACAATGTCATCTTTAAAAAAGCTCTCTCCAAAGTTGTTAAATGTCTCCAGTGACATTACTAGTATACCTCCCTTTCCAAACTCAACGAAAACTTAGTTTTCCCTTCACACAACTAGCCACCGTTCTAACTTTAACTTTGCTCTAACATGAAGCCCTTATCCTAAATATTTAAAAGTGTTTAAATGGCTGCCAAGCCATTCTGTATAAGGCAAGCTGCCTCATGGGTACCTGAGAGTGCGATTATTTAAAAGATGGGCTTTGCAGCCCCAAAAAACCCCTCCCCCCATTTTCATAATAATTAATTGCTGGCAAAATTCCAGAGTTCAACACTTTTCAATCATGGAAAAACAAAAGTGTTGGCGAGGATAAGGAGATGGGACAGAGTTATGTCTCTAAGAATGACTTTTTAAAAAGAAATAAATTGTGGTAACAAACAGTTTAATTCCTTATCCCTGCTCACAAATAATAGGAAGCATTTTACAAATACAATAATGGAAGTTTGAAAGGGCAGGAAAACTGTAAACCTATTTGAAGCCATTTCTTGAGGTAAAGGACAAAGGTGCATTTCCAACTCCAAATCATCCAAAAAAATCCGTCAGATTTCTCTCCTGACTAGGTCAATCAATGTAACTGTACACAATCCCAGCAATCCAGCTGTTAATCCTGCAGTCCATTACCCCTTCTATAAATAGCTCGGTCTGGGTCTATATCGGCAGGCATTTTGTAATTTCAAAATTCGTTACCCCGAGAGAACGTCCTGAATAACTCGGTAACTGGGAGCCCGTCTACCCTTTCTTTAACTCCGCAGCCCCCCTCCCCTCGGTCATCCTAGCGTTTTCCACTTAAAAAATGCGCCCCCCCCCCCCGCAATCCCTCGACTGGAAGAGAAAAAAATAAAACGGTTCGGTCGGGGGGGGGCGCTGCGACCCAGGGGGAGGGGCCGGACTAGCAGTGCCTCCTCGCGTGGCTGCGCCAGCGCCTGACCCCCGCGGGGAGCCGCGCTCACCCGCCAGGCCAGCAAGTCGGCCATTCTTCTCCCCCCAACCCCCCTCAACCAACAAATCCACCGCCACCACCCCAACTGCGCGCGCGCCCTCCTTAACTCCTGCGCAGCCGCCACCGGGAAAAGGCGGGGGGGAGGGGGAAGGCCTTGCGCGAGGCCTACTAGGCCGCGCCGGAGCCAGGGCCTCGCGTGAATGGCCGGGCAGGCAGAGTAAGAGGGTAGGCGCTCACGCGAGACTACGCGAGGTCGGGGCTCGTGACGAGGACCGAAGCCCGCTAAGAAAGATGGCAAGAGTGAAATTAGCGCTATAGCCGGGGGCGGAGAGAGAATTTTGAAGCTTACCTGCAGGCGCGAGGCGACTGAGGGGGAAAGGGGAGCGGGCGGGAAGGGGAAGGGCGGGAGGCCGGGGGCGGAACAATAGGGGCGGGCGGGAAGGCGAGGGGGCCCCCGCGGGCGGGCGGAGGAGGAAAGGGGGGGGTGGAGGAGGAGGAGGAGGAAGGGGGAAAGAGACCCCGGGGCGGGTGGAGGGCGGCGGAGGGCGGGCGGGCGGGCGGAGGGCGGGCGGGCGGGAGAGGGCGCAGGCTGCGGCTGCTCCGGCTGCTGCCTCTGCTGGTCTGGGAGGGGGACGGGGCGGAGCGGCCCGCTTTCAACCCCGCGCACCCTCCGACCCCGGAAGCGCTAACCGCCCCGGGGGCCGGCGAGGCGACTGCGTCGGCCAAACCTTCCCCACACAATACGGACGGCCTCCCAATAGCCTAGAGCGGCTCCGTGGACAGCGTCGGCATCAGCGAGACAACACCTGGCAGCACATAGCGAAGCCTATGATAGAGCGGCAGCACGGGGGCAGTGAGGAAACTAGTGGCCCCTAGTGGGCTGATTAAAAAGTCCAAGCGTAAGTGCGGAGACAGTTGGCAGTCGCGGAGGATACAGGAGACAGGAGGGAAAAAGATAGCTGAGAACATCCATCTGATATAAGAGACAAGAAAACCTTGGAAATCTATAGTGATACTCAAAAACAGAAGGAGGAAAAAATGAATTTGCTACATTGAAGGTAACTTTTACACCAACTCCTTACTCTGAAAATTGCTAACTTAAAGATTTAAGAATTTACCCTCTCTTTTTAGGAAGAACTGCAATTCATTCTTAGTCAATAAGGGAAAACCCTTTTTTAAAAGAGTTCCATCTAATAAATGCATAAGAAATGAAAGGGTTAGAAAATCCTCATTCATTCTGCAATCCAAAATGAAATAGATTCAAGCAAGTGTTATAAATCACCAAAACTTTAAGCAAAAGGTTGTTAGAGAACAGGATATTATCATGGTGCCAAATAATCACCACACAGATTATTTGCAAATCACAGAGAAGAAAAGAAAAAAAGATAACTTATGCCCTGGCTGGTGGGCTCAGTGGATTGACTGCTGGCTTCCAAACCAGAGGGTCACAGGTTGGATCCCAGTCAGGGCACATGCCTGGGTTGCTGGCCAGGTCCTCAGCTAGGGACGTGCAAGAGGCAAACACACATCGATGTTTCTCTCCCTCTCCAAAAGTAAATAGATAAAATCTTAAAAAAAAAAACCAAAACCTTAAAATGGAGTGATCTGGTAGTCAACACCTTACTGAGGTGATCAAACTTTCCATCAATCAAAGTTGTTTCTGTCTCATATTGATGGTCCACTCCTTTCCTCTCTCTAACAGCAATGAAAAACATATCCTCAGGTGAGGATTAAAAAAGTTTAAAAAATTTCAAAAAACAGGTGCATAATGAAATATTTAAGGGTGAGGGATCATGATGTGGGGGACAAAACAAAGATCAAATTAAACATTGAAAAGTAACATCATCCTCTTCTAACAGTAACATTGCTACTATTGGGGCTGGTCTACAACTGCAGCTAATTTTGGAAGAGAAAGATGGGATGCACCTAATAGTAATAGTGGATAATTTTATGAATCACTAAATTCTTAGAAGGGAACCAAGCTAGTTAAGTGAGTGAACCTGCCTAGGGCCACAAAGCAACCTGATATAGGGAGATAATTCCAAAGGAAGCAAACTAAAGACTCATCCCATGACTGGCAGTCCCCAAAACTGAAGTGTCAATTTGTATTTTAGATCTCCTGGGTTTCCTTTCCTTTCCCATTCTTAATTGTGTGGAAATCTTGCTATACTTACTTTGTAGTAAGAAAAGAATGGCATAGAGTGGTAAGCGCATAAGACAAAAACATTTTAGAATTACCACCTTTAAAGTCTTAAATGGATGTACAAAACAGAGGGCACAAACCCAATGCTCCAGGAGCCAGGTAAGTAATATCATTGGGAGAAGCTGGCCTAAGAAAGGCAACAGGAAATTGAAAGGACAATGAGAAGACTAGAAAATACGGGACCTATCTGTAAGGACTGGCCACTACTGAGGGCCATATTTCTGCCTTTAGAAATGTGGGCCCACTGTTGCTAGGATTTCCACTTTGAAATCTGAACCTTCATTGAAAAATCTCTGATATTTAACAGTGGCCTCTCAAGGTCTCATAGATGTAGCCATGGGCATCCAATTTTCAGCCTCCGGCAAAGATATATGTAAAATGTTCACTGGAGCAGTTAAGTGATAGCCACACTGGAGAAACTATTTAAAATTCCAGAAATAAAAGATTGGTTGAATAAATTGAATGCTGTTAAAACAATGTTATCACCCTGACTGAGTGGCTCAGGTGGTTGGAGCATCATCCCATGCACAAAACGTTTTGGGTTGGATTTCCAGTGAGGGCATATAACAAAGCTGTGGGTTCAAACCCGTCAGGGTGCACGCGGGAGTCAACTGATTGATGTTTTTCACATCGATCTCTATCCCTCTATCTCTCTCTCAGAAAAAAATCAATAAATACATCTTTGGGTGATTTTTTTTTGTTATCTACATAGAGTACACACACACAGATATGGAATCAAGTTCAAGATAGATAATTAAATGAGACAATATTAGGTCCAAAAGAGGGCCTGTACTATGTTCCACTTGATATAAAGTGTGGGGGGGGGGGCATAGGAACAATGTAAAGTAGAAATAAAAAGGATGGGGTAGAGGTGGGGACTTAACTATGCAAAATAGCCCTGGAAGTATACAAAAGAATCTAGTAGTCCTGGTTGCCTTTGAGGAGGAAGCTGAGAATCTGAGATGAAAGAACTTTACTCTTTACTAAGCATCCTATTAAAAAAAATACTTTCAGCTTTTAAGAATAAACCTTTGAGAAACAATAGCAGCAAACAACAGCAAGGTGCTCTGTATATGGCCTAGAAATGCCGTGAAGGGGAGATGTATGCTCTATTATCAAAAGTAGAGAGTCAGTGGACTTTCTCACTCATTTGTTTTTGTGTGTGTGTGTGTGTTCCACGCCCCCCGCCCCACTCCCCACCCCACTGGCCCCTTCTCATTGTCCCTGATTGCTGGTTTGTTTGCCAACATCTGTTTCTCTTCACCTCACAATCCCCTCATGCCCATATCTCCCCTCTCCTCAAAAAAGAAGAGCTGATGAATAAATGAAAACAGAGAGTGACTGGAAAAAAACATTAGAATGGTTCCCAAATCCAGAACACTGGAAAAGCAGGCATTAGCCTAGGATTTCCTAATAAAATTAGAAGCTAGCTCTAAAATATAGGAAGATCTCAAGCATTTATTTCATATAACCTGCCTCAGGGACAAGTCATGGATGTAATACAGCCAGCTAAAAACACCCCGTCCCTGTTCTTCAAGCCCCTCATTCAATCCCCAAGCCCTGTGGACCACACCTCAGAAACATCTCTCAAGTCCACTCCCTTCATTAGTCCCATCTCCCCCACTTCAGCTTCATTTCCTCCTCCTTTCAGGGTCTTGAATGGGATCTCAGGTTCAGGAACTTCTGAACTTTCATACTACATCTTTTTAGAATGTGCCTCTGTAAAATTACTTCTGCCTGAAATCCATTGGGTTAAGAGTAGAGACTTGAGCCTCACTAATTCAAATCCTGGCAAGTTTTCTTCATCAACAAAATCGGACTAATAGTGCCTAACTTATAGAGTTGCTGTGAAGATTACACAAGTTATAAATGTAAAGTACTCAGAACCTGGCACGTAATAAATGCTCAATGTTAACTGGTATTATTTATCAACTGAAAAACTCTATCATCCTGAGGCCCAGCCCGAACCTAGCTAATTTTCTCAGTGGCACTGTCACTCGTTCCTTTGTCCCCCCACTCATTGATCTATGTCTCTATTGTGGTCTTTTTTTAACTGTAGAATAACCTATTCACATAGTCACGTGTCTGTCTGCTCCATTAGATCTTGCAGGTTATACAGGGGAGGGACTCTCATCCACCTGTGTAGCTCCAGCACCCCAGAACTCTGTATTTCCTCAATAAAAAGTTTTCCAGATCATTCTGGGATACCTGTGATCCCCAAATATACTATGGAGCTTTCTAACTCTGTACCTAAGCACATTCCTTCCCCAGCTCCTCTTTGCCATCTACTTGGTAAGTCCACTCCTTCAATTTTTTCCACTCATATTTCCACATTCAAGGCCCAAGAGGTAGCTGAAATGTCACTTTTACTATGAGGTCATCTTTGACTCTTCCTTCTCCTCCCACTCACTCACTACTTAAAGGGTAGTATAGGTTTATATACCTCTGGCAGTTGGTAGCATCTGTCTTTATTAATCAGTTCTCTTAGATGCCTTTTTCCTCTGCAAATCTTGGAGAACCTGATGTGTCATACCATGCATGGCACAGAGTGAAGTGGTAGCCCTCAATTCTAGCTGTACATCAGAATCACCCACACAGTTTCTTAAAAACACTAATTTTTAGAACCCCGTCCTTAAAGAGTCTTATTCAAGAGTTTTGGAGCAAAGTCCTAAGTTACTGTCTGATATCTGATGGGCAGCCAGGGTTGAGAACCTCTGTAGCAGATATGAAAACTTATGCTAAAGACCTATAGCCATTCATTAAAGGAAAGAGAGTAAAGATTCATTCCATTAAGGCTGAACCAATTCTGAAGGTTCCTCCCACTTAAGAAACATAGAGACAGCATGGTGTCTTGCTCACTGATGCTCTGGTTCCTTTCTATAAATCTGATGCACTTTAAAGGGTCTGTGGAAGGGCAGCAAAAGTAGTAGAATGTGCTGGGCCCAACCAAGGTAATGGCACAGGTGAACAGAGACCAAAAGAAATAGCTTTATTTGGACTGAGAGTTGGAGAATGAGGGGAGGACCTGAGATAGTGTACTGAGCTAAGCAGTAGAGATTAGGTTCAAAAATGGCATTCAGAGCTCATCAACAAATAGGCTCTACTTCCCAGCAGCCTTGCAGTTAGTGTAATCAATTAAAGGCATGCTGGGACATGTATTTGCTATTAAATAACCCAAGTGTGCCACAATTACAAGAATGGTACAGTTCGTTCTTTGGTTCCTTTTCTCCCAAAATTAAGTTTCCACAACACCTCCCCAACCACAAATATTACAAAAGAAAGTAAAAAAAAAAAAAATCACATTTTCTAGATCTTAGACTTCTCTTCACCATCTTCAAAAAACAGTTCTACAAAACTTATCAGCTAAATGTTCTACCCAAGCACTGAGAAGATGGTCTTTGCTAGCCCATAGCAATTCTTCTCCCATTTATTTCCCCTAACCAGTTAGGGCTGAACAAGAGAGTGAGGCTCAGACTGGGAGAGAGGGGTAGAGGGACACAAGGGCTAATTTCCCCCAGTGTAAGATGGCATCTGAAGCTTGATGGGAGAGCAGAACTGGAGAGACTTGAGGGAAGGGTCCCGACCCTGTATTCAGTCAGAGTCACTGCTGGAAGAGGAGGAGGAGGAGGAGGAATGCTGCAAGGGGAAAGGGGAAAGGAGATAGCATCAGATCCAAATGACATTTCATCAGTCCGTTGGACACTTTGGTATCCCACCACTCCACCCAGGTCCCCAAGGTCAGGAGCCTTAAACCAGACTGCCCCTTAAATAGCAAAAGCAAGGATTTCCTTCCGCAGTGAAAATACAGAAAAGGATTAAACCATCTTAATTCATTCCACAGAATTTAACAAACTGCATTTAGAGCAAGTTTCCCAAATTTCTTTACTAGAGCCAATGCCTAGGCATGGAATAAATTATAGGCACAACATACTATAGTCCTAAAACAGGCATCTGTGAGTAAGGGATGGGGGAAACATTCTGGGAGTGAGAAAAGCAAACAAGAATGCCTTTTGATTCTGATATCCATTCTAAGGCTCAGCCTATCCCTCACAGAAGGCCCAGTTAACCTAATATTCCTAATATTTCTTTTCAAGATTGTTAGAATTTTCCCAGTAGGAATCCATTATAGAGAGGAAGACCCACCTACCAGAGCAACACAATTGCTGCCCCATGTCCTCAGACTTAGCGGCCCCCTACTTGCCTGGTCTCTCTGAGGGACACCCCTTCCTAGCCAAGCCCCAGGAGGCACTCACCTTGCCATGCTTATGGTGTTTATGCATCTTTTTATGAGCTTTCTTCATTTTCTTCCTCATCTTCTTGTCCATCACCATTCCTGGTCCTACCATGCCAGGAACCAACGGATTCACAGTAGGCATACCAGGGGCAGGTGGTGGGTATGGAGGCGGGTAGGGACCTGATGGTTGGCATCCTGGATATGCTGGCTGTGGCACAGGATGAGGGGGCCCAACTGGGGGGAAAGCTGGATTCCCCTGGGGAGCTCCTGGGGGAGTGGGAAAGGGGCCTGGAGGAAAGGCAGGATTGACAGGCGGAGGTGGATAGGCAGGATTGGAATCTCCAGGGTAGCCGGCATTAGGGGGATACGGATTTGGCCCTGGCTGCCCTGATGGAAGAAGCAAAGAATAAATCAAAATTAGAATTGCCCACAGCCTCTGACAACAAACAACAGAATGAAGGGGCTTCAGTTTCTCCCTCAATACTTAAAGGGTTAGGGTGGGAGAAGAGAGCCCCGCCCTACACCAAACACCTACCGGCATTGGGATTCCACATCGTCAGGTGTATCCTCCAGCCTGAGGAGAAAGAAATGAAGGCAAAAGGGTGACCGCGCACAGGTGGTAAGAGGATTTAGACACCGAGTCCCACCCCGATGCCTCCAGCTCTGCAGTAGCCTGACAACTACCATGACCTCCACAGAAATGTTTCCTTCCACCCGTTCCTTCACCCTCAATACCTACTTTATTCCTACTTCCCCAACCACAATAACCCAGCGCCCAGGGCTGCTCCACCTTCCACTACCTCTGGCCGCAGCTGGAAGTCTACCTCCGCCAGAAAGGGACAGGGTCCGCGCGATATCCTCATCATTCATCTCCCTTTCTATGACTGAATCTGTGACTTTAACCACCCACAGATTAAGGAAGGGTTTTAAACAGCCTTACTGCCCCCCAGGAGGAGGAGAGGGGACAGCACCTCCACCTCAGGCTAAAAGAAAGACCCTTCTCTTTTTTATTATTTATTGAATTCTTGTACGTGTCCTGACGGGGGGTTGAACCGGCAACATTTGTATACGGAGACCACGCTCTAACCAACTGATCTACCCGACGGGGACCAGAGCGGGGGACCCACGCCCCACCTTCTCGAGGCCAACCAGGAACATGTAGGCGAAACCAAAAAGGTGGCTCAGGAAAAATCCTCAAATGCTGACATATGTAGACACACACTCTTGCCCACTAAAAGGTCAAATGGAGATCTTGGCTCCCAACTCCCAAGAGACCCCTGACCCAGGAACGGGAAAAGGAGGAAATTGGGGAATCCAGATGCCCCGTCACCTTCACACCACCGCCTGGGCTCGCCTCGTCCTTCTCAGTCTCCGCTCTTACTTCCTGGTCACCGCCACCCTAAGGCTTCGGCACCCACCTCTGCTACCATCTAATTGGTAATTATGTGGCCATTCTGAATTATGATTGGAGAATATGCTCGTCAATCATTCTGGTCCCTGCAGGGCTAGAAGACCTGAGTTGCAGTAGGGGCGGAGCTGGGCTCTTCGGTGAGAGGCGGGCGCAGAGGAGCGGGAGGGCCGGAAATCCCGGCGTGTGGGCCTTGGAGAGACGGGTTGGGACTGGGCGGAATCAGTTTCAGGGCAAAGCCCTCAAGATGCCGAGAGTAAAATTAGAAGCTCCCTTCTGAACTTCTTGTGCAGTGGGTGCAACACCTTTTAATATGAATACAGTACACCGTGATAAGTGTTGCAACACAGATATATAGAGCATTTAGGGACGAGGGGGACGCTACTGAGTCTCAGCCCCAAGCCTCAATATTGCCACCTCCCTCCTAGCTTTCGTGGGAAGTAAACAAACATTCTCGCCGGAAATACAGAGATTTCCTAATCTCTCTTAGGTTGTCCTATCTCAATTGCATAGCTCCGCGATCTGTTGAGTTGCATAAATTAGAAACCATCCCAGGCTAAGAAGGACACACTTCCAGGAGAAACTAGGAAGGTAGCTCAGGAAAAATCCTCAAATGCTGCATATGTAGACACACCCCCTTGCCCATTAAAAAGGGCAAATGGAGTTCCTAGCTCCCAACTGTAGAATTGCATAAACCAAGAATCAAGTAAATCATCCTTGATGGCTCCATCCTTTGCTTCTATCCCAACCTCGCTCCAACACTACTGCACTGTGGAATCCCTGAGGCACTTTCCATCTTCCTTGCTCCCAAACTACCATCATCTCTTGACTGGATTACTGCAATGGCCTCTTTTTTTTTTCTTTTTCTTAATAACACAATTAACAAGCTTCATTTAATGAACATAGGAGTATATGAACCATGCACTCAAAACTTTAAAAATAACTCATTCCTCCCAAGCATACTTAACATTTTATAAAAATTGGTCTTAGCTAATATATATAGTTCTAATTTCAAAGAATTGTACATACCACTAATAATCATTCTGTCTATAAATTTGTCTATTCCAGACATTTCATATAAATGGAAAATTGTACAATATGTGGTCTTTTGTTACTTTCACTTAGCATAATATTTTCAAGGTTTACTCATGTTGTAGTATTAACCAGTACTTCTTTTTATGAAAGAAGTACTAAATAATATGCCACTGAATGGCTCTACCACTTTTGTTTATTCAGTCATCAGTTGATGGACATTTAAACTTTTTTCACTTTTTGCCTATTATGAATATCGCTGGTATAAACATTCATGTGCAAGTTTTTGTGTGACCATATGTTTTCTGTTCTTTTGGGTATGTGCCAATGAGAAGAAACACCAAGTCACATGGTCAGTTTGTAGCTAACTTTTTGAGGAACTACCAGACTGTTTTTCAAAATAGCCACACCATTTTACCTTCCCACCAGCAATGTGTAAGAGTTCCAATCTCTCCACATCTGCATCAACACATTACTGTCTGTCTTTATTAGTACAGTATAGCCATTCTAGTGGGTGTGAAATGTTATCTCATTGTAGTTCATAATGACCTCTTAGAAATCCTATCAGCATTCACTCTGGCCTTCTTCCAATTCATTCTCCACACTGCAAACTGGCAGATTTTTTTGTAAAGCCAAATCTGATGTCATGCTACTGCTTAAAATTCTTCAATGACTTTTCATTATCCTCAAGACAAAGGTCAGAGCTATTTTTAAAGATTATATGTATTTATTTTTAGAGAGAGGGAAAGGGAGGGAGAAAGAGAGGGAGGGAAACATCGATGTGCAAGAGATACATCTATTGGTTGCCTCTCACATATCTGCAACTGGGGACCTAGCCCACAACCCAGGCACGTGTCCTGACTGGGAATCAAACTGGCAACCTTTCAGTTCACAGGCCAGCACTCAATCCACTGAGCCACACCAGACAGGGCAAAACTATTGTTACATGTATGTGTTAATTTTTGTTGAATAGGTAACATGAGCTGAAAACCAAAAACAATAGAGGTATAAATTCAGAAGTCTCCCCGCTACTCTTGTTCTTCATCTACCCAGACTCTCCCAACCCACATAACCTCTGTAATTGTTTTTTTTTATGTATACTTTCACAGTTTCTTCTTTGCAACCAAGCAATATAAATGATATGAATTTATGTCCCCCCTTTAAATACAAAAACAGTAAATTATGCAGAGTTAATTTTCAACCCTCTCCTATTTAATATATGTTGGAGATATTTCCATATTAGTAAGCAAGTATCATACTCAGTAATTTTCACAACTGCATTTTATTCTTTTGTATGATGTACCATAATTAATTTAGTTAGTAAGCAGTTTTCACATTATTTTCAGTTACCTGCTATTAAAAATGTTGCAATAAATAACACTGTATATATGACATTTTACATATTTTTACTTTTTATTGATATTGATGTATTCTTTCCCACAGAGGTTGTACTTATTTGTATTCTCACAAGCAATATATGAGTGACTGTTTTCCCCAACTCATCCAACAAAGAAATACTCAAAATTGCATTACTGTCATGTCTATAGTGGTCTGGCCCTACTACCTCTCTAGCTTCATTTCATGCTGCTCACCCCTGGCTTTCTGTCCTCCAGCCTCTAGGCTTTCTTTCATCCCTCCAGATCTTGGTCCCTTTTGCAGGATGGCCTTTACAAATACTACCCTTCAACCTGGAATGCTCTCTCCATTTCTCTCCATTTTGCCTAATTAACTCCTGTTCATTCATCAGCTCTCAGCTTCAGGATCACTTACTTCTTCAAGGAAGCATTCTTGATATTACAGTCAAGTGAGGCCCCTTTGTTGTAGTTTCTGATGCAATCTTGCCTTCCCTTTTAACACACCTACCTCAGTTTATAACTATACATGAATCAGTACATACTTTATTAATGTCAGCTTTCTATTTTAGACTGCAAGCTTCTTCAAAGCAGGGGCTGTATTCACTAACACTCAACATTTCACACAGTGCCTGGTACATAGGAGGATGTCAATGAATAAACTGTTAAATTTAAAACTATGTGAATGAATTAATGGATGAATGAACAAAGAGAAATAGAGCATGGTAGCTCTGGAGTCAGTCGAATAGACCTGGATTAAAATTCTGGCTTTGTCACTCATTTCAAGAACTTAAATAAGTTATTTAACCTCTTGGGACATCAACTCCCTCATCTGTAAAAATACAATTGGTCCACCATATTCACAGGTCCTGCATAGGGTGGTTGTGATGAGATAATCAAGTATCTGCAACATTATTAACAATTATTATATGCTAGAATGTATTACTATCATGATTCTCATTAATATTAAGAATCGTTACTATTTGACTAGGATGATTTCAACCTCTGTACAGGACATTTAGAAGTTGCCAATATCCTCCATATCGCTCTTCACCCACCTGCAATAGGGAAAATTCTTCCTCAGATTTAAACTCAGATTATTTAAAAGCATTTAAGTAATGCTTTTAAAGATCACTTCAGCTCATTCATTAAATCAGTAATTATTTACCATGCCTCTGTCATTCATTAATTAAAAAAATATTTCTCAATCTACCCAGGTACTGTTCTAAGCATGGAAGAAAGAGTAAAAACTTAATAGGAAAAAAATCATTGCTTTCACTGAGGTACTATTCAGGAGGGAGAGGCAGGATATAAATAAATATATAATAAAATGTCAGGTAATGAGCATAGTATGTAGAAAAGTGAATGAAGTAACGGGAGGAGCTATTGTATAAGTATTTAAAAATTTTTGTAAGCTATGGTACAAGTATTTATATATTTTTGTAAGCTGTGGAAAAGAGTTTGGATTTTATGCTAAGTGTGAATGGAAGCCTCTGGAGGATTTTGAGCACAGGAATGACATGATCTGATTTTAATTTTTAAAAAATCATTCTACAAAATTAGTGTTCATAAAAGCATTATTCATAATAGCCCCAAGACAGAAACAACCCAATGTCCATGAACAGATGAATGGAAAAACAAAATGTGGTATATATTGCCCTGGCCAGTATGGCTCAGTTGGTTGGAGTGTTTGCCATAGACCAAAAGGTCACAGGTTCAATCCCTGGTCAGGGCACATACCCAAGTTGCAGGTTTGAGCCCCAGTCAGGGCACTTAGGAGAAGGCGGCAGATTGATGTGTTTCTTTCTCTCTTTCTCTCCCCCTCCATCCCTTCCTCTCTCTGTAAAAGTAATGAAAAAATTTGGGCAAGAATAAGAAAAAAATGTGGCATATAATTACAATGGAATAGTACTGAACTTTAAAAGGAAAGGCGCCCTGGCCACTGTGGCTCAGTTGGTTGGGTGTCAGGGCACATGACTGTGTTGCAAGTGCATAAAATAGGCAACAGATCAATGTTTCTCTCTTACATGGATGTTTCTCTCCGTCTCTTTCTCCCTCCCTTCCACTCTCTCTAAAACCAGTAAGTATGTCCTTGTGGGGGAGGAGGAAGGAAGGAAGGAAGGAAGGAAGGGAAGGGAAGGGAAGGGAAGGGAAGGGAAGGGAAGGGAAGGGAAGGGAAGGGAAGGAAGAAAGTCCTGTCACATGTTACAACATGGATGAATCCTGAAGACATTATTTTAAGTGAAATAAACCAGACACAAAAGGACAAATACTGTATGATTCCACTTACATGAAGTACCTAGAGTAGTCAGATTTATAGAGACAGAAAGTAGCTGCCAGGGACTAGAGGCAGGGGAAAATGGAGAGTTACTGTTTAATGGACACAGAGTTTCAGTTTGGAAAGATGAGAAAGTCCTGAAGAAGGATGGTGGTCATCATTGTACAATGTGGATGTACTTAATGCCACTGAACTACACACTTAAAAATGGTTCAAATGGTATATATATATATATATATATATATATATATATATATATATATATATCTGCATATTTTTTTAAGGTAGAGCTTAGCAGATTTGGACCAGATA